GCTGGGCTGGGGTCCTCTGTTTCGGGGTGACTGCGCTGGGCTGGGGTCCTCTGTTTCGGGGTGACTGTGCTGGGCTGGGGTCCTCTGTTTCGGGGTGACTGTGTGCCGGGCCGGGTAGGGCGGCTGGAGGAGGAGCCCAAGAAAGCCTGCTGGTGGCTGCGCTCCCTTCGGTGAACGCCGCAGACCGGGAAATGAAGCCCTGAGCTGCATTCCCCAAGGGCCTTCCTCTCCTCAGAAATCTATTTGGAATTTGAGCTGAGGGCGTTAGACATTGACCCTAACAATGAGCTCAATTATTCATAAGCAGATTAGGTTTGGTGCGTGATCTACGGTGGCCTGGAACCACCGCCCACCCAAACGGGTCCCATTGCGGGATCTGGGTGCGGCTTGTGAACTGTGGGGATGCGTGTGGCGCACGCGTGTGGCACACGTGTGCGTGTGTGGGTGGGTGCTCATAAGTCCAGGCCCCGCCGGTCCAGCCAGTGAGGGCGGTCATCCCTCCCTGGCCTTTCTTAGGGCCACGCTGGCCGTCCGCATGGCAGTGGCACCAGCGGCAGTGGCCGTGCGGTGGAGGCTGATGAGGCAGCCCCCTGGCCCCACTGCGCGCACCGACGGCAAGGAGGTGCAGTCACCTGTGGGGGTTTCTAAAGTCTTTGGGGGTGAGGGGTGAGGTGTCTGAAGTCACCTGGGCTGGGGACCCAGGGTCCCCTCAGCTGTAACCGCATTGCTACAAAAGCGCCGGCACGGCCGCCAGGCTTCCCCAGACCAAAGCGAGTCCCTGGAAGCCCCCGGAGCCGGCGGAGGGCGGGGCGCGGGGTGAGGATGAGTGTTCACTGCCCTGGGTCTTGAAGGTGGGCTGGGGGCTTCGTGGGCGTGAGAGAAGGGAGGCGAGAGTCTCTCCGGCCCTGAGTACCGAGTGCTGCCCCCGCAGGTGCTTGTGAGAATCAGCGTCCTGTTCCAGAGTGTTACCTGTGTGGTCTGGGAAAGATCCCCGCGAGTATCAGTAACAATCCCAGCAGCCAGGGGTGGTGGCGCATGCCGGTAATGCCGTGCTCGGGAGGCTGAGACAGGAGGATCACCACAAGTTTGAGGATAGCCTGGGCTACATAGTGAGACCTGTCTCAAAACAAACAAACAAAAACATAAACAAACAAACAAACAAACAAAATCACAAAAAACAATCCCAGCTATAATGTCCAAGGCAGTTTTCTCATGGCAAATATTTTCCCCAGTATGACACATGCCCAGGAGAGGCAGGCGGGGTGTGGTAGTCTTGGATACTAATTCTAAGCCAGATTGCCTGGGTTCATGGCTGGGCTTCTGACCCTTGCCTGTACCTCGGGGGTGACAGGGGCCCTTCCTCTTGTGCAGGGGCAGTGAGCCCCACGTGTGCAGTGGTGAGAGCCGAGCCTGGCCCCTGCTGTTCTCGTGGGTTCAGCTCCGGTCTCATTCAATCCTGGAGGCCCTGCCTGTCTGCCTATCATCTATCTAGCACCTGTCTATCTGTCTGTCTGTCTATCTATCATCTATCTATCTATCATCTATCTATCTATCTATCATCTACCTATGGATCTGTCTAGCTATCATCTATCTATGCAGTGCAGGGATAGAAGCCAGGGGCCACGGATGCTGGACAAGCAGTGCTTCTCTGAGGGATGCCTGCAGCCCAGTCTCCTTGTAGAATGGAGGACAGAGAGGCACAGTCACTTGCCCAGGGCTGCACAGCTAGGAAGAGGGGGACGTAAGACTCGAACCCATGTCTGAATCTAAAGCCCACTCTTCTACCACCTGCCTCGTGGGGTGGAAACCTTGCTTTGATTTGACACTGAGGAGCTGCGGTGAAGTCAGGAGTGGGGGTCCCGTATCACAACTTCTTTTTTGGGGGGGGAGGGGGGCTGAACCCTGAGCCTCATATGCTAGCTATCATAACTTTATAAAAATAATCAAAATCTATAGCAGTGTATGCCTATAATCCCAGCTACTACAGAGGCTGAGGCAGGAGAATCACAAGTTTGAGGCCAGCCTGGGTAATTTAGCAAGACCTTGTCTCAAAATCAGAATCAAAGGGGCTGGGCATATAACTTAGTTTGAAGGCCTTGGGTTCAATTATTATTACTGCAGGGGGAAAACAAAGTGAAATGATTGAGTACCAGATACTCTTTTTTAAAAATCCCCAAACCCCACTTGTAAAACTTTTCTTTTTGTCTTTTTGAGACAGGGTCTCACTACATAAAATTTTCTTGAGTGTGCAAATTCAGGTACGAGTTCTAAGAGGTGAAAAATTAGCCCCCGTTGTAGCCAGCAGCCTCCGGGGGCAACCAGGGTCTGCCGTTCCGCTCTAGCGATAGCTCCCGTGTACCCAGCAGAGTCCTCCGGACACCGGGAGCTCGGAGCCCTTGTTCTCCTGAGGAGGGCGGGAGTCAGGTGTGAGCCCCTTCCGCCCTGCGCCTCTGCGCCATTTCCCCTCCGCGCGCTGACTCGGCGGGACCAGGGCATCGGAGTGTGGACCACGGTGGCCTCAGGACTGGCCCCCCTCCCGCCCCAGCTAGGGCCAGAGGCCCGTGTCTGTGCGCTGGGGTAGAGGAAGAGGAAAGGGGTCATAGAAGCTGTAGATCTGGCCTCCAGGGGAACAGAAGCTCCGCTCTGACAGCCGCAGACCCAGGCCACTCCCATCTCTGGGCCTCAGATTTCTCCCTGAGGAAAGAAAGGGGGACCCCTCCCAGGGAGGGGCTTCGTGAGGGTCACGCCCCCACAGCTCAGGCTGCTGTTGGTGGAATGGGGAGCAGGCGAGGTGGGGTTTAAGGGTGCCAGGTGGGCCCCCGGACGCTCGAGTCCTGCTGGCTGACATCTGGGCACGCGGAAGTCGGCAGTGGGCACGTGGAAGTCGGCACCCCTGCTTCCCATCTTTGTTTCACCACCGGGAAGCCAAACCCTGAGCCTCAAATTGCTCCTTTGTAGAAGAATCACAGTCCTTTTCTGGGCTGCTGACTTCACGAACGTGTTGATTACTGCTGCCCCAGACGCTCTGGGCTCGTGTCTGTTCAGCCTCCCAGCATCAGGGGAGGCAGGGGTCGCTCTCTGGCCCATTTTCTGGATGAAGAAGCTGGAGGCTGGGAGGTGAAGTCGTGGTAGACAAGGGGTTCAACCCCGGACTTGACTCCAGTGCATCCGGTGGGGCAAACTGTCTCCCGTCGGTGCAGATGGTGATGATCGGAGCAAGTGGTCTCGCGGCAGCTCCCTGGGGGGCGGGCACGGGACGCTGCGCTGCTGCGGGAAGGAATGATCCCAAGTCCCTGGACAGACTCGAGCGTGGTTTTCCTTTGAATCAAACGTCAGGACATAGCCTTCCACCTGGTGCAGTGACTCACGCTTGTAACCCCAACACTTAGGAGGCTGAGGCAGGAGAATCAAAAGTTCAAAGCTGACCTGGACTACATAGGGAGACCCTGTCTCAAAAAGCTAAGCAAAAATCCCCCCAGAAAACAAAGTCAGGATATGAGATTCTGGAGACCCCTGCCAAATGTCAGCCTTGGAAGTTGAGAAACAGGTTTCTGGACCAATTTTTTTTGGTTGTGGGGAGACAGGGTCTCACTGTGTAGTTCAGGCTGTCCTTGAATTCTGTATGTAGCCCAGGTTGGCCTCGAACTCACAGCGACCCTCCCTGTCTCAGCCTCCTGAGTGCTGCCATTATAAGCAGGCACCACCATACCCAGCTCTAGACCAATTTTA